AAACATTGGCTAGTTCGATTCAAACTTTATAAAATGGTGAATAAGAATTTCATTATAGTTGGTTCCCAATTTTTTATAATTTAGTAAATGTTTATGAATAAATTATTTTCATATTTATTAATGATAAATATCATCATATTAGTTTTAACATGATTGTATTAGCTTTTAGAATGTTGTAAATATAAGGATATTCTTGTAAACAATATAATGTGTTTATACATTTTATTTTTTCTTGAGGATTTACAACAAAAATATTAAGTTCACTTTCATATGTTTAAGTCTTATTAAAATTCTAGTTAAAATGTTTTTTTCAGGCATGAAGTTTAAACAATGCTGAGATTTCTTCTTTGTATTTATTTATTTTAAGAGGCTGCATGTGCAACAAATATTAATCTAGGTTTTTCTTCAGTTATACATATCTTTTGTACAAATCTATCATTTTGCACTTGTTGTTTGATGGTATATGCAATTTTATTATTTCCTACTTAGCATACCTCCTATAATTGCTTTTTTGATTGATTGATTGATTATTTTAATGTTATTTAAAGCCAAAATATATTTATGGATTGTAAGAATCTTTTGGAGAACGATGATTTTCTGATACGAGTCTTACTATTTAACCTATCTAATGCTGGGAGGAGAAAAGGTGGATTCATACATTTTTCCCCTTGGTGTATTTGCATGTAAGTGAATATAATGAACTCTATTAGAATTTGAACTCAGTTCTCCGATCTTGCATTCCAAGCCTTTACCCATGACACCATCTGGTATTCTCAAGCAATCACCCATCTAGGTACTAAGCAGTTTCAATGTTGCTTAACTTCATTGATTGGGCAAGAAGTGGTGTTTTGATGTAAGATAGCATAAGCCCTTATAATTGCAAGAGGCTTAAACACTGTCACTGACCACGCTAATATCCAAACCCTTAACTTCTCAATCTCTTATGTAAGTGGTTGATTTCTCCATGTGTTTCTCCAGTAACCTTGATGGACATCCTTCTCATCTAGATCTCTTTTCACCTTTATCCCTGCCCTCTTGGAAAGTCTGATCATGCAGTAGAGTCTGTAAACACCTCCTCCTGCTCCTACACTGGCCAAGAACCTCCTACCAACACAGTATCTTTCTGTTATCATTGGGATTCATTCCATGATTTCCTTCATGACGTCCCTTGGAATGAAGTTTTTAACTGTCTTCTTCAAAAATGCCTGCCTGAGGTCTCCTGGGTGAAAGTCAGCATCGATGCTTTCATTCTAGCAAGGAAATACCAAGTTAAACCATGTTCATTTATCACCTGCATGCTTGGCCACTATAACCCATAGAAATCACTTCTTCCAGTTCTGTGTGTAATGAGTGCAAGTGTGTCCTCAATGAAGTGAAGTTACTGTTTGCTGATAGAATGAAACAGCATATGGCATCTCACAAGTTCAGTTCTAGAGAATATTGGCAGCTCTCCAAGTGTGTACTGAACAACAACAAATCCTCAATCATTCCTCTATTCAATCAATTCAATGTCCTGACATGTACAGCAGATAAAGTTGAATGCTTTGCTTGGAAATTCTCTTCCAACTCAACACTTGATTCATTTGGAGTACCCATATCTGATTTCCCCACCTCCAGAACAGTGCCTCTACTGAGTGATAAGTGCTTAAGTGGAAGTGAAGGGATCCCAGCCGTCATCCTAAAGAAATATGCTCCCAAGCTGGCTCCAGTTCTTTCCAAAATCTACAACTATTGCCTCGCTGCTTCCTAGCTTGTTGGAATTCCTCCTCTGTAGTTCCTGTTTTTAAGAACACTTGAGAACCTTCTGACCTCTCTAATTATTGCCCTATTAGTTTCCTACAACTTTTCAGCAAAGTATTCGAGGCTTTAATCAATGCTGAAGGAGTTAAGCATCTTACCTCTCATAACCTACTCTCTGACAAACAATATGGCTTCCTTACATTATTTGAACTGCTATTCTTATCTTCATTGCCATATTAACAACGTCTTGGCCATTGTATGCTCTGGTTTTCAGGTGATTGGAATTTTGAACTGAACCCTTTATTTCATCCTTGAGGACACATGGCCCAGTGGATAAAGGTATTGGTTAGCTCCAGTGACTAGATCCGAAAAGTTCACTATCGGCTACAGCAGTGGTGAACCAAAACTTGGAGAGTTGAGTTAAGGAGAAATAACTGAGACATCTGGAAGAGGCATGGCACGTGGAACTAAAACAATCTACCCTGGTGGACAAAATAAAGGGTTCAGTTTGAAATTTCAATCACGTGAAGAAAGCCAGCATGTACAACAGCTGAAACATTGTGAATATGGCAATGAAAATGAGGATAAGTCTGAATAATGTAAGTAATCTTAATACCTCATCTCAGAGATATAGACAAATATGGCTTTTATTTTGCCTGGTCTACCGCTGATATGCTTATGGTCATCACTGAATATGTATATTAAGCTCTTGATAATAGTGGCAAAGTGTGAGCTGTGCCTCTAGATATCTTGAAGGTGTTTGGCACACTGGTTTTCTATGTAAGCTCCAGCGCTATGGTATTACAAGACAATTGTTTGATTTAATCCAATCATTCCTATCAAATAATGAAATGAAGGTTGTTTTGAATGGGCTCGCTTTCAGATCCTTTCATGTGAACGCCGGTGTCCCCCAAGGCCCTCTCTTGGGTTTTATGCTGTTTCTGATCTTTATCAATGATCTTCCTGAGGTCATCAATTCCCAAGTAGGCATTTATGCAGATGATACTACCATTTACTCCTGTCTCACTAGCAAATCCATCAGAGCTGACAAAGTAAACCTGGCTGCTGCTCTTGAAAAGGACCTCCAATCAGTGGTTAACTAGGTCAGGAAATGGCTTGTAAATTTTAATGCCTCCAAAACAAAACTGCTCTCATTTAATCACTATAGAGAAACTTTCCTGCCTGCCATCAACATGGCTGATGTTTGACTCCTGGAGAGTCACACTGTGCCTTTTTGGCCTCACATTTTCAACTGACTTGAAGTGGAAAACTACATTGAATCAATAACTGCTATTCATTTCAAGGTTATTGACAAAATCCAAAGAAGGATCTGCAATGTAATCAATCCTGATTTAGGATCTTGACTTCAGTCACTTTCTCACAGACGTGATGTGGCTTCCATCTGTCTTACACATATTTTCATAGTAACTGCTCTGACAATCTTTTTTTCCTGGTGCTCTGACTAGACTACATGAATTTAAGCATGCTACTAGATTGGCATCTAGGTCCCACCCTTTTACATTTGAAATAGTTAAATGTAACTGCCACTTCTACTCCAAGAGTTTCTTTTTTTGCACTTCTTGCCTGTGGAACTCCCTTCTGTTTACTTACTTTCCTGAAAACTACCATCTTTATAAATTTAAGTAAAATGCCAATCACCATCTTCTGTCTTGAATCCCATTCATCTTTTATCCTTTCCTCAATCCCCCCCTCTACCCAGTATTTTTTCTCACTTTCAATCTCTGTAGCCCCCTGTGTAGTAGTGTTATTCTTGCCTTGGTTGGGGTGAAATGATTAAAAAAAAAAAAAAAAACATAAATTTGTTTTGTAATGTATCCCCCCGCCAAATGATTGAGTGCTGAAAAGTATTCTGCTTTGCCAAAAAGAGATCCCCCTCCAAATACCTACTACACTCAAATATTTTGATTATTTAATTGGATTTTAGGAAGTGGATCTTTTCAGCATAGGTACCTCCACTAATTCAATGAAAAAGAGCATACCATGATGGAAAAAATTAATAAAAACAAACTTTTATTGTCTTTTCCTCTAATATTAACATGGTATATTCAGATGATTTAACTAAATTTTTTAATCCTTTCTAGCATGTTCAAAATTTTGTTTAAAAATCTTTTTTTGTCACTTGGGAGGCCAAAGATTAGTATAGGAAATGTTATCTGTAAAAAACATTGATTTGAAAATTCTTGCAAAAATGAAATAATTGTTGTATTTTAATGAAACTTTCAGAGGTTATTCACAAATTATTGAAATTTTAGTATTTTTTTTTTTTTTTTTTTAGAAAATCTTGGTAAAATATTTTTTTTAATCTGTTAAGTACATTTCACTCGCTTAATATTTATATTAGTTAAAAGCAGAACTCTTTGGAGAATTTAAATCATTAATTTTTTTTTTTGTAAAGCAGAAACACCATTTACTGGAAATCTGCTCTGAAACGTAAAATAAAGCTAAGACATTATTATTTAAAATTTGAAGTTTTCTTTCTCACTTTAAAAAAAAGGAAAAACTATTTACCTTTTACATTTGAACTAATATCCTCAACTTTGTTATCATCACAACATTTCAGCCATTGTGCAATCCAGACTTCTTCAGGTGTCTGTTGATCCTGGTGACCTTCAGAAAATTTTGAACTAAACCCTTTTATTTAATCTGTTTATTGTTCTTCTGCATCCATGTCTATGGATCTCACCTTATTCTTTTGTAGTACAGCTCAGTTATTGCTAGCCATATTTCCACTGAGTCAGCGTCTGTACCACCTGGCTCAAGGATCAAAATTTCCTGAAGATTACTTCCATTGGCAGACACTCTGAAAAAGGTCAGAAGGCACAATACTTAAAATGTGTTGATAATAACAGATGAAGACCTTAGTCCAAATGTAAATCATAATTCCTTATCCCAGACAGAAATGATTTACTTTTCTTATGACTAGAAGAAGTAAATGTATCATATTGGACAAAGATGTTAAACTTTGATATTCATCCTTTAAATAAGGAAAACTTATTGTGTTACTCATTTCCACTCACTTAACAAAGGGAAAGTAGTATTCTTGATTTGATTCTATGGTTTATTATACTTAGTACAACGAAAGTTATTTAGTATCATATTTGTTTATTTTAATATAAGATGATAGTTGTCTATTGATGTTAGTTTGATTCTATCTATATTTCATACAGCCCATGCATTTTCATTCCTTTTTTCTTTTCAAACTGTGATTCCTTAATACTACATTTACTATTTTAAATCACATGCAATTAACATCCATTATTGTAATATTTTTGTATTCTTACTTTTCGTTAAATTATCTTGATATTGAATTTTTTTTTTCTTAAGTTATTCTTGTTTTATATGAAGTATGATTTTAATTCTTTCATAATTTTTCTTTCAGACTGTAGCCATCAACAAAGCTATTAATTCCCAAGTGCATCCAGTCAAAGAAAAACATGTGAGGAGTATCTTTTTTGTGCATATTCATCTGTATGTAATTTTATACATAGTGTTTTGTATTTCTTTAATATCTTCCTTGACTTCTTATGTGAGCATATGAAATCCATTTATTAAAATAATTGTGGTTTTATGGTTTAGATTTTATAGATGGATGTTTATACAATTGTTAAACTACTTCTTTACTGTATGGTAATAATTAGTAGCAGATGAAATCAACTTTTATAAACATTTTCTAATTTCTTTAATATTTTCTGATTTTTAAATGTCAGAATTATCATCTATATTTTTATATAATAGAAGTATGTGTCTTACCTCGGATCATGCCAAAATAGCCTTTGCATTTATTGTTCTTCAGAAAATCCAGGTGCAGGGTTGATATGAGTGGACCAGCTGCACATGAGCTGTAAGTGTGGGAAAGAATTGTATTACCAGCAGATATATACACACACACACACACACACACACACACACACACAATTTCTTAGACAGTGAATACCAGAATCTAAGGTCCTTAGATTTGGAGCCCAGGGCTGCATACACTCACTGGCTGACCGTAATTGGCAAAGTACAGAGTTGAGTAAAATGTACTTCTACATATAAGAGATTCAGTCTTTGTGTTTTCATTAGTCATGGAAACAACTTCATTGAATAATGAACCTTTCTTTTTGACCTAGAAAAACCTGAAAATATGACAAAGAATCTTGGGTGTGTAAAGAGAGAAATAAGCTGGTTTGGCAACACTGACATAGGTTGTATATTATGTTTTTCTCCACTAAAAATACATGTTAGATGTTTAAAAGAAATCCTTTTGTGGTCTTTTCACTATAGACAATCTATAGTTATATAAAAGTCTTTTCAGAAAATGGTAAAATTTAAGACAAGTTTCTTGGTGATGTTCAGTATTTAACACATTTAGCACCAATTAATGTTTTTGCTAATTGCTAAGGACCAAACAATGTTAATTATGTAAAATTCCCTTTTTGAAATACAGGTTTTTGTCTTCATTTTTTTTTCTCACATTGCTCTGACAAAGACCTTATTTAGTCCCTAGTTCTGTTTTTAGCTGATGAACTTCCAAGAGAGAGAGAGAGAACATAAAAATTTAAATTAATAAAAGAAAGCATGCAGATTTTTTGAGATTCTTTTGTAATAGAAACATTTGGTATTGTAATTAGAATCAGATTAGAGGACACAGATGTTTTACTGTAGAATTCTTATTTGATTTATTCCTCCCCATCAATTCTAACTACTATGTCTCCTGTCAACATACCCCTGTGTGTCATCATAGGTGTTTCTGTTGCATATATATTAGGAGACACAAGGCAATACTCTATTTGTTCCTGCAGTTTATGTCTCACTGAGAATAATTAGGTCTCATCGATTGTCCAGTATAAAGGATCTTTTTACATGACTTACCATTGTAGTTCCATATCAGAAAACTGACTTGTTAGTCTGCCATTGGCCATATCTAACATGTTTCCAATGTCTTCAGTGTAACTCTGGCTGGGGTGACTTCTGGATACTAAAGGGCAACCTATGATTTGGTCCCCAAGGCCACATATGGTTTTGAATTCACATTTGTCCTTCTCCTAGACATATTGCCAACCACAGCTAGATAGCCCAGTCTTTCCTGTTATTTAACTTGTAGCTTGAGGTAGAAGAGATGCATTCATACGTTTCCCAAGGGTATTTGCTTGTAAGTGAATGTAATAAACTCAATTGAAATTTGAACTCTTTTCTTCTGTCTTTCATTCGAAGCTGCTATCCATTACACCTGTTTTCTATAGATTCTGGTGTTTAAGGATAGTCACTGTTGATATAGTGATTTTTATTTTGTGTAACCTTAATTTGTATTTTAAATTATTTGATCTTATTGGGCAGTGTTAAGTGAAAACAGTTGATGATTAATACATTTTTCTTTACTCCTCAAGAAAATCATATAGGTGCTTACTTATTTACTTTTTTTATTGACCTATTTATTTTTTTAATCTAAAACTCCAAGAAAGATTACCAAAAAACAACTCTGTATTGCATCTTGACAAAGAAAAAACATTTGTAGTCAATCAGACTCTTGTGCAAAAAAATAATGTAGACATTTGGAAAGAGAGAAAATAGTAATTGCATCAAGATCACTCATGTTTCAGAACCTTTTCATTGTATATGTAGCATCCCGATACCACTTTCTTGTCAATGTTGAATTTTGTACAAATCTGTGCAAAAAGTGGATCAAAGAGCTTAACTAACTTCATACAGATTTTCAGGAAATCTCAGCTTTTAATTGGTCAATAAATGCACAAGTGGGTGTTGTAATCTACCCACATACAAATATTTTTCCAGCGCATGGCCAAGTCAAGTTTTCCCGCTCTTTTTCCATGATCCTGTCATGTGGTTACATTAATTATAAGTAGCAGACACAAGCTTGTTCATTCTCTTTTCCTGCAAAAATGTAACCTTAAAGGATTCCCGCCTTGACCATATGTGGTCAGACGCCCATGAAAACATATTCATGTATGCACGTATGTACGAAATTTTCCAAACTACATCGCAAACATATGAAACATTTCCAAACCAGCAACAAGAACTTTTCTCTTTAAAATACTTTTCTAGAGCTAAAAGTTTATTCAGCATTTCTCAGCTTTATAATTCATTCAACTTTTGTGAGCTCAGATAAAAATATTTCAATTTCATCAGTAAAACTTTAGTTCAGTCAAAGGGACATAACACCAACAAAATAGTAACCTCTATGCATGTACATCATTACACAAAAAATAAATATAAATGTTCTTGTTATAAAACCGTTTTTGTTCCTTCTTGTTTCATATTTTGTGGTATTTTGCATTAAATACAAATTGTAAGGTCATGTTAACAGACATCTACAAATGGTCATATATATTAACATACTTCAACATATGCTTGCACAGATTCCCAAGTATCAAACCACACTAGAGGATTATTATTTCTTCTGTTCTGTGTTGCTTGAATTTTAATCATTTCACCCCAAGCAAAGCAATGAAGCCACTAAGACATAGGGAGTTAGTGTTAAAGAATACAAGAAAAATATACTATTAAGGAGAAAAGACAATAAAAGAACAAGAATTAAGAAGATAGAAGATAATGATTGATATTGTATTTAAAATTTTGAAGATCGAAGTTGACAAGGAAGCAAGAAATCCAAAGAGAGTTCTACAAGTGAGAAGTGTGATAGAAGAAACTGTTAGCATAGAACTTAGTTATATCTAGCCATTTCAACTGTAAAATGAGATCTTGCTGACATTCTAATACTGTGTTTATATTCATAAAGTCTAGGTATCATAGAGGAAAGTTCATCAGAACAATTACCATAAAAGTATTTATAGAAAAATACAGGGAAGCTATGTTATGACAATGGGAAAGTGACTGAAGCTAAGATGCAAGCTCAGGACCAATAACATTGCAGATTCTTCTTTGGATTTTATCAAGAATCTCTAAATATACAATAGGAGCACCAGACCAGATGTGGCAACAATATTCAGAGCATAGATGAATCGTAGTCTTATAAATATTTAAGATATACTTAATGATCATAAAATGACAATCTGTTCTACAATATATTTTATATAGTAATATATTGTATATATACTTTTAGTATATATTAAAATTGAAACAGCTAAATATCTTCTTTGCATTGTAGTAGTTATTGGTTCAGACTTTGTAATGTCATTTGCAGCTGCGTGCCATTGGAAATTGCTTGGCATGCCACATGTGGTACATGTACTGTAGGTTGCCAATCCCTGCAGTAGTTACTACTAGAGTAGACAAGTAACAGTAAAGAAACTCGCATCTGCCAATGCTCTGGGAAAATCAAAAATGGATGATTTCAAATGCATACTTGCAAACAAAATTCTTGAAATCAAACCAAGTAAGCACTGACTTTTAAACAAAAGGGACACTGGGAACATTTTTACACATGCCGTACCAATATTCTGTAATTCACATCAGAAAAAGGAAATACAAATTCTTGCTGTTTTTGTCAGCACATGTCTCAGCTTTTTATTGTTGTTATCGTTGTACATTAATGCATTTTAATTTCTGTTATTTAATATTTACCACATAACACATTTTATAGAAATATTAAAGCAATATTTTCTCTTTGTCTTCTGTCAAATGTTATTAAACTTTTAAGGAGAGTTTCTCTCTTTCTTCAATGAAAATTATTCTAGAGATTGATGCATCCGCATAATCATCTATTGTCAAATATTTTTTAACAAGTATTTTCTCTGTCTCTCATCCACTCCATTGCTTGTTTTGCTATTCTCTCTCTCGCCAGGATATATGAATTTTACTTTTTTACTGATTACTATCTAATATTCAAGAAATGTAGAATGGTAAAAACTGCTGGCATTTCTCTTTTTTGCTTTTCTTTTCTTTTTGTATTCACTTATTTCTTTGTTCAATTTACAACTTGCCTTTGGAACTTTGTACACATTCAGTTTAACCAGTTTTTCTTCCTTTATCATTTTGGTTTGATTCTACAAAGAATGCCTAATGTCTGCCTGATCAAATTCCTTTTATTAAAGAATACCCCTGCAAGTTCACTTTAATGCATGGCATTATTCTAACACTTTCGCCCCAGCTCCAACATCATACTCTCTTTGTTGAGGTGTCTACTTGATCCTAACCGAACTTGAGGGAGTGGCCGTAGGTCCCCTGAGCATCCGTAGATTATTCGACTGATCCACTGGTTTAATCCTGCTTCTTGCCCACATTGTGTTTGGTTTGATCCAGAAAGCAGAAGTGATGTTCATCCATTCACAGTCGACTGAAAATGTAGACACGGCTGGAGAGTCTGCCCTAAGAAATTTAGAATGTAGCAAAAAAAATATTAAATATCTGCAGAAAGCCGGACAAACAACTATTCAATGATTGAATTGTTAATGTCTTTTATATAGCAGAAAAGAATAGTATAGAAAATTAACGGGTTACAGAAAAGAAAAGTAATTGACATGAAAACGCATACACAGGATTC